AATATATAGATACACATACAGTATGCTGAAGTTGCAGAAATGGGTAAAGATTCGAGAACTGAAGTTCACTATTTTAAAGATGACTCAAACCAAATGCATAATCGATTTTAAAGAATAATGGCTGTTACAAACAGGCAAAGATTCAAAAGGAAGTACTTGTTGATACTTGTCATATAATGAGAAGGGCTTTATCTCAACAATAGACAATATAACTCCTTAAAGAAGAATTAATTTTAGAAACTAACAGTAGGAAAGAGCATCATAAACAGGCCCTTGTGTGTTTTGACAGACTTTCACAATACACGGGCTACAGATGCCAGACAAAGAAATTCCTTTATAAAGAAATCTGAATACTTGGGAAACACATTTCCTTATTAGGGTATTGATAAAATAGGGGAAGTTGTCACTAGAGGAAAATGCAGCCCTGCAATTTCAAGTGTAGGATATGAAACAAAACATTCACCAAATGCCAAGTTTTCAGCACATACCATACACAATAATACCCTCTTTATTCAAAATTTTTGAGTACTAAAGGCTCTGATAATCTCTATTTCTGTTTCCCAACAAAGTTATGCCAGGTAAAATTGGACTTGGACAAAACTATGGATATTGTGCCCTCTGAAATAAGAGAACTTGCTCTAAGAGATTTCAAATAAATCCACACGTTCTTAAAATTGGCAAGAAAGTTATTTTTTACTTGTAACTACCAGATGTTGCTGCACTGTCAGCAGGAAGCTCAGAAATATGGCGTAATAAAAAAAGAAAAAAGAAAAAGAGGAAAGGAAGAAGAAACAGGCGGTAGAAACAGGTACGGTTGGTGCACACCTATAATCGCAGCACTTAGGAGGCCAAGGCAGGAGGACTGCTGCCAGTTTGAGGCCAGTATGGGTTACACAGTGAGTTCAAGGCCCGCCTGAACTACATAACCTGACCCTGTCTCAAAAAAAAAAATTAAACAGGGACAGGGGAGGGAGCTCAAATAAAAAATACAGTGAGAAAATAAACTGTGAGGAAATTTTAGTTATGATAGTTCACTTTTTTAATACAACCAGTGTTCAAAATGCACTGTTTAGTTAAACTGGAATATAATGAGAAAAGCATCCACAAGAAGATATGACTTAATAGTACATTCTTAAATTATTATAACGGCAAGAAATGCTTTATGGGGCCAGAGATATGGCACAACAGCACAGCACCTGCCTGGCAAGTGCAAGGTCCTGAGTTCCCAGTACAAAACAAAAAGCTTTACATTTTAAATTATCAATGACATGATTTGCTATTGGTCTGCAGTACTGTAGTCCCTAAGTACAACAGATGTTTTTGGCAGTGAAACCTGAACAAGGAAAGTGAGAATGTTAAAATATAATGTAATTCTCTCTACTGCAGGATCATATAAAATGGAAATAAAGGCTTTGGATACTTCCTCTGCCAGGAGCCTTAGAACACTGTCAAAAAAACTACAGAAACACAGTATAGACAGATAAACCAGAAGTTTATACATAAAAGGCAGTGAAATCATTTCAACATAATGAAGAAACATACACAAGGACCTTTTAAACAACACCTAAAGATAAACTGTCACTACTACCTCACAAGCAGAAAAGCCAGAGTTACCCTCACATACACATTTTTACATTAAAACAGCAGCCACTGCCACTATCTTTTTTAAAAAAATGACATCATTAGCAATGCCCTATGTCCCATACCTGTTTCCAAAAGTTAATTATAAACCTGAGGTAAACCTATTCATTCTTCTTCCAACTTGATACAATTAAAAATACATTGAAAAAACCTAGAGTTCCCCATTCCTTCTCCCTGGTTTCCCTAGTTCTTACACCCAACTCCCTATACAGTCAGCATGTGGCTATCGCACCACTTTTTTTTAAAAGGAAGTGAGATGCAGATGTAAGGTGTCCCTATTGAAGGACTGATAGCCTAACGAGTGAGTGAGTATTCCTTGTTTTGTTTTGTTTTTGTTTTTTGAGACAGGGTCTCACTATGTAGTTCAGGCTGCCTTGAGCTCACTTTGTAGCCCAGGCTGGCCTCGAATTCACAACGATCCTCCTGCCTCAGCCTCCTGAGTGCTGGGATTACAGGCGTGCGCCACCATGCCTGGCATGTATTCCAAGCACTTCCCATGTTCTCCAATCAAAACACAAGAGCTTAATTTGTCTTACACAGCCACGTTATAATTTTCCAAATAACTATCCTTTCTTCTCAATCGAACGATTAAAACACAGAGGGCAGTTTCATCCCAACAAAACTGTAATTTCAGAGGAGAACGCAGCTATCACAACCATAACTAAGTCCCTTTATGCCTAGTGTTCCATCTGAAATACCCAGAACAACGGAATATAAAATATTTTCTCTTCAAATTCTTGTTCCTTGAATTTTCCTACAAGACATTTATGAGTTTAAACTAAACAAAATAAAACAAAAAAGCAGGGCTGGGGAATTAGCTGAGTGGCACAGTGCCTGCCTGGCAAGTGCAAGGTCCTGAGTTCAATGCCCAATACCATCCCCCAAACCAAAACAAACGTTTACGAATTTCATGCAAAAATTCAAAAAATCACAAACTTAGGCACGAATGGGTTAATATTCTCCTACAGTCCCAGGAAAAAGCAGCTTCCATTTTGAACATGACAGAGCTAGGAAGCTTTCTGAGGAGTATGAGACTAGAAAAGAATCTGTCCCCTTAACCACAGTCAGGTCAGTACCAGGGATTAGCCATACATGTAACAAGAAACTACTAAATAAACTTGGAAAAGAAAGCATTTTAAAAGGTACATATCTTTCCAAAAGTCTTCAAATTCAATATTATTCAATTACTGGTAAATAAAAGAAGACTGAATGCAATTGATGGCAGTTACTCCCATGATCATTACTAGTATCAAGATGGAAAACTAAGTTTTTCTCTCAAATTATTCTAGATTAATTTAGATGAACAGCTGTGCTCTTTCCTTAGTTTGTGATGTACCAGAAATTTAACCCACTATCACAGGAAGGGAGTAAGTAACAATACCTGCTCTCCCTGTTCATCAGATGATGTGTCTGTCAAAAGAAAATGACAAAAGCACTGATGCCAAAATAGTGAAAGCTCATCAGAATTTCCGTGAAAAGAAAAAGGTACGTCTTTCTACATAGAGTTTGCAAATAAATTTACCACTAACACCAAACAATGTACCGATACAAGGGCAAAGAAGAAACAACAGTCATGTGCTAGAACCTGAAAGAAGAAAGATGACTCTAAAAAGCTGCTAGTACTCTGCTGAAAAGGAAAGAAGGGGTGAAGGGGAAAATGACACCATTGTGCACACTTGTGAAGCTCAACAAGACAAAACCAAGAAGCCGAGGGAATACTAAAATTTTAAGATCTGCACTAAATACAAATAAATTGTTTAATCTATATTATATATTAATTTTTATTCCCAAACACTTCACCCACAACCTTCATGAATTTCTTCATCTGAACCCCTCTTCAACTATTTGTAATTTTGTGTAAAGTTCTATATCTGAAGTATTAAATATATCTTAAGTGGGGAAAGTAAGGCTTAATTCATTCCCAGTAAGAAACAATAATTTTATTTTTAACATAATCAATGTTGAAAATAATCAACAATCACTCATAGTAAACTAAAAACTAGACCAAATATGGAATTTTTAAGATGTCTTAAAAAAAAACCCATGATAAGAAATCAGATGTTTTTTCACTATGTAAATTTCACTGCTATACACATTCTTCTAGGACACACTGGCTTTAAACTGTTTTCAAAAGAAAGCAGCACCCACACAGTGATGTATGATCTACAGCTGATCAATACACAACTGTGAACTGGCTAGGATTAGGCAGGCAATTTGTACTCAAGCAGACCCAAATGAAACTACTGGCCTGTCTGAAAAGCAATCCATCACCTCTGTCTCATTAGCATTGCCCTCCAGCTGTTAAAGATTTAAACATTAACTTAGATTTTAAAAAGGGGGAGGGGGGAAGTGAAACACTAACAACAGGGAGAAACATTATATAGTCAGTCTACCCAAAATATTCTGTTAATGGAAACCAGCTGCAAGAATAAGAGATGCCATTTTCAGTATCTGGGCCTGGTAAACTACTAATGGGTTTCTCTTATTCCAAGTTTCCACTCTGGAAGGAAGCCCCCTTAATTCATTATTCCCTCAGAGTTCCTGGCACTTCTCAGTATTACCTTTCTAAAATAACTGCTCTAGAGTTCAAATTTTCTATCCATTATTTGTGTGCAGTGGCTCGTTGCAGTGTTTCTAAGCTATTCCTTATATGAGAAGCCAAGCATCCCCTCTCCAAAGAAAAATATCCTAACTCTGTCTTAAGTATGTGATCCATAAAACTGGCACAGCTTTAACTGAAAGTTGTGAATTTTAAACTTCACTCTCAATACATGACATTTACAAAACACTGTGATAAAACACTACTGATTGTTTGCACCACAATTCTATTCGAATGCCACAAACCTAATTCGACCTGTGGTAAATATTCTTCCCAAGTTTTCTCCCACAGAGTTCATAAATCAATTTAAAAGCTGTTCACATGTAACCGTCTTAATATTTAATACATTCCCCCACCCACTGTAACACCAACAGCTACAAAAGTTATAGACACATAGGCTCTGTTTTCCTAAGTTAGGACTGCTAGCTCTTTGAGTATAGCTCTTACATAATTTTGGTTTGTAGAAACTGCTTCTAGGAAAAGCCAGACAGTTTTACTTAAAATGAGTAAAATCACTTAAATAAGCTTTCAAGGCTAGAAATAAAAAGCCATTTTTCATACCAGTATCACTCAGAAATCCTAGGGTTAAGTGAAAGAGAATATACTATCCCTAGAATTGTAAAGGTTGAGTAAAATTTCTATGAACGACACCTCTGGCACCCCAGGTACTAGATAAAGCAAGAACACCTGCACCAAGTTACTAGCAACTCAAAAATACATAAAACTGTTCTTTACTTAAGTGAAAAAGCAAGAAACAAACCTCAATTTTGTCTGTTTTGGCATCCCCCCAGTATATTTTGCCTTCATCATAATCCAAGGCTAAACCATTTGGCCAACCAAGAGAAGTATTAACCAATACTACTCGGTCAGAGCCATCTAAAGCTGCTCGCTCGATTTTCGGGATTTCTCCCCAGTCAGTCCAATACATGTACCTACAAAAGAATACAGAAAATGAGCTAAAAATAAATAATAGAAGTGAGATCCACCCCACATATTACATTGCTATCAACAGTCAACAAGGGGGGGGGTGGATAGGACTTAAATATCTGAAAAGCATGTTTAAAACATTTATAATAGCAAGATATAAATTTTTATATCCATGTTTTCTAGAACTGGTCCTGAAAACGCCTCCCAATGACATTTCAGTTTAAATTTTTTTGGGGGGGCCGTCTTTTTGAGATAGGGTCTTGTTAGGCAGTTCAGGCTGGGCTTGAACTCATTTTGTAGCCCAGCCAAGCCTCAAACTCACAGCAATCCTCCTGGCTCAGCCCCCCAGATGCTGGGATTACAGGTATACACCACCACACTCAACCCAGCTTAACAATATTTTTAAAAAAATATTTTGTGCTTTCCCCATGAACTTTTGCTTTTCCTTGATGGATCTTAATCTCTAACACAAAAGATTAACTTAATAGGAATATTCATATGACAAAGTGAATTCTCCAAATAATTTTTCCTACAGTGATCCCTGTGGCTTTTGAATGGTTAAGTGGATCTAAGGTATACCACCCTGAGATGTAACAGTTTGTCACTATGTCATCAGAATAAATCTTATAGTAACAAATAACTTTAAGATGTATGTAGAAATTCTTATAGTCAGGGTCCTATGGTTAAATAATAAAGACACAAAGTAAAGCTACAGGGCCTGACAAGGTTTTGGGAGCCAAGTTATTTATATATTTTAGGAAATATGAAGTAAGATATACTCATACTGTAGGTACTGAAACAGGATGAAATAAAATCTCGTTGGGAAGAAGAAAAGCACTGAAAATCTCTCCACATTTTTCATGGTGATTATGCAATCTAAGCAAAATCTGCAGGCAATTCCCCAAGTCAGCATGCATTAAGTTCATTTAGGGAAAAAATATTCAAGATGTTATAGGCCAAAAAAAGGCAATTCTTTGAGATTCTATTCTAATTACTAATTCTAACAATGAACAGCCATTATACAGCTGTTTATTAAAAACCAACATAAGTTACATGTACTTCATGCTGAGTTAATGTTTTCAGATACCTATTAACAGAAACATGGAACAGATTTACTACTAGCAGAGATGCTTACCCAACCATGGGATCTAACACAATGGCCCGGGGTTCCTCTAAGTCTTCTGAAATCAAGATCTTTCTCATAGTCCCATTGAGCCTTGTCACTTCTATCCGATCAGTGCCAGTGTCTGTCCAGTAAAGATTTCGTGCAACCCAATCAACAGCTATACCATCAGGATGGGCAATTTGAGCAGTGACCACAAACTGACTGCCAGATCCATCTATGAAGGAGCGGCGTATGGCCCTCACTTCATCATCAGTCCAGTAGATATAGCCTTCCACAGGATCATAATCTATGGCAATAGCATGACGAATGTCTTCTAACTGCAGAACTATGTCTGTAAAATCTGGTGTATCCAAAGAAATGCGTCTCAAGTCTGTCCTGCGGGCTAAAAGCAGTAATTCAGTGGCACCTAGAACAAATTAAATAAAGAAGAAATCAGTTGAAAACCATGGGCAAAACAAAGAATGCAAATTCAGAACCTCTTTAGGAACACACACACACACTCCTCCCCCACTCTGTAGAGTAGATGCAGAAAAGTACCACAGTGAAATAGGAAAAGCCCACTATGAAGTCAAACTCTATGATGACTGAACTCTCTAAAGCAAGTTTTGTCAACTCTCTGGTTTCTTTTATTAGAGAGAATCTTTGTGGTTGATGGAAATAGAAAATTGGATTATGGTAATGGTTACACAACTATAATAAATGTATTAAAAATCACTAAATAGTATACCTAAAATGAAAGAATTTTATGGTAAGTAAATTAATTCTTGGTAAAGTTATCTCATCAAAAAATACAGGGCAATACTTGATACAACTGAGGACAAAGGAAGCTATAAAGAAGGAAACATAGCAGCAGTAGAGACAGAAAAAGAAAAACGTAAGAGTTGCAGACCCAACAGAACTTGATTCAAACAGCTATACAAACTTAGGCAAAATATTAAATCTCTCTAAGCCTACTTTCTTCACCTAAATGTCTTAAGGTTGCTGTGAGAATTAAAAGAGATTAAATGTGAAACCTAGGAAGATATGAAGAATATACTCACTTAAAAGTAACTAATTATTATTTATAAAACAGATTTTAAATGGTTATTTCACTGAGCTTAAAGTCACATTTATGACTTTTTTTAATTTTAAAGAGGATTGAAAAAAAGAACAATAGCAAAATGCCAACACAGACAAAAACAAAACAAAGCAAAAATAAGAATGATATAGGGTTTCAGAACAATATGACATGTTTTTAATACACATCAAGATTCAATGAAAACATAATTGAGCATTAGAATTTTAAGCTCAACCTTTCTTTCCATGTTTAATGCACAGGTACATGATCTCCACAGAAACCATTTAAGACTCTAACACAACCGGTAAGTAACTTAACAACTGAAAGAGCAAGAAAAAATTACTATCTAAAGAAACTTTTTTTTAGGATATAAACTTCAAGCATTAAACTGGAGTTATAAAAGTACAAACGAGGAAAAGTAATGATGCCTCTCAACCTCAGCTACTTGATTACAGGGCTAATGATAAATTTATTCTAACTTAAAGAAAATAGAGCCCAAAATGCCATAGTAAGCACCAAGCAGAAGTAACTGTACAATTCACTGCTCCTACTAACTGCCAGAAGGAACCAGTTGAAACTTTGCAAACAAAAAGTCATGGAGATATTAATTTGAGCAATGAACAAAACAAAATAGTTAACTTAAGGCTTCTACCTGCCAAATGTACACCTGAAACTCAAAACTAGTTGAACATGTACATTTGCACCATTATGAGAAACAGGCCACCATTGCTAAAATAAAGCCTTAGTTTTAAAATCAGATTATATTTTTAAACAAAAAAGCAATACAACAAAAACCTTTTGTTTTAAATTTAAACCAAATTATTGTTTGCCATGGAAACCATCTCACAAGAGCCAGCCAACTTCACCTTTGACTATGAGGATAATTTATCAATGCCAAATCATAACAAATATCCAGTACATGGACTCAATTCCATCAATTCCATCTCTCTGACTCCCTGACCTCCCTGCCAGGAACACTCTAACACACTCTGAAATAAAGGCTTCTGCTTTGCAGAGTGAGATAAAGAAGTCACTGCTAAATATAACAATTTTCCTACCAGGTCTTGCTGTTTGCTAGAGAACCAGATGGTAATCAATAGGGGCAAGAATGAAGAATAACATTCTCATTAAGAAGAAAAAGGGAAGAACTGGTGTTCTTCTAAACCAGAAGTCTCTTGAAGTGTCCTAAATCAGTGTATTTCTCCAACATATCCTCTCTGTATAGGGAATTAAGAGTAAGGAGAAGAGGCAAAATGTGGCGGTTAAGTACAAAAAGAAGTTGCTTTATAGCAGCATGATACAGCTTTTCTTTCTTCTTCTGAGAGCATGTGTGTCATTAAAAAGCCACTAAAAATAACATTCAGTCACTTGCTAGAAAAAAAAAAAAAAAAAAATATATATATATATATATATCTCCCATTATAATCTTTGTAGCTTAAAATTTAATAAACACTTTTACTTCTAGAGAGGTTCTTTATTTACAAGTGCTACCTGCTATTAAAAATGTATTTTGGGGGCTGGGGATTTAGCTCAGTGGCACAGCGCCTGCCTGGCAAGCACAACAGGTCGTGAGTTCGATTCCTGGTACGGGGGGGGGGGAACACAAAAATAAATAAATAAATTTTAAAAATTGTATTTTCATGAGACACTCATTTCCACATGAAGCAATTCTGGTATCAATGATTATGAAACACTGACAGAACAAAAACAGTACATAATTTTTTTCAAAAACAGCATATGACTTAAAATAATAAGTTTATAAAAATAGCATTCAAAAGGTGCCATAAAACATAGAACATTCTTCCTACATAACCATTTGAGTGACCAGTTTCCCAAAGCACTGTAACCAATAAAGCTTTTTATAGAAAAATGAAATAAGTCAGAAAAATCTCAAATGCTCTCATAAATATTTTTCTTCTTGCATAACACCATCTTACCATTTTTGCAGGTTTTTCCATTCTCCAGAAGTTTGACCCCAGTTGGGCAAGCACACTGATAAAATGGTTTGACTGGAGACATCAAACACAGATGAGAACAACCACCATTATCAATTCCACATGGATTTGTAGCTGTCAAATATAAATCACACTGATTAATACCAATGATTATGGATGACCTCCCTCATTCTAGGTACACAAAGGTTAACAACCTTAACATGAGCAACTGTGATAAACCAAAATTATTACCAAATGTTATCCAGGTGCTTGCCTACCAAACCATCTGTAAGGCAATGAATTAATCAGCAAGAATTAACTTGGCATTTTGTATCCAAAGAGGAACAAACAAAAAGCAAAGCAGGAAATCCTTGCCCTACAAGAGCTTACAATCTAATAAGTAAGCCAAAATTAACAAACAATAAAACTAAGAAACAAAACAATGAAACTTAAATAGTATCTTGCACATTATAGATTATAAGCACAGAGTTAAAGAGAAATCATCCACTTAGAGAACTGAAGGAACACTTCATGGAGTTTGTAGAATGTGACTTGAAGGACAGGGAAAACAGAAACATTTCAAATGTGCTAGAGCCATATGAGTAAAAGCTGGGAGGCCATACACTGAGTAAGATAAAATGAATAGTAAAGATATGGGGTCAAGTTTCCACTGTCTAACAGGAGCTAAAGCTGAATGAGCATAAAGGATGGGAACACTGTAGAGGACAGTACTGAAAGCCAAGAAAAGTAATTAGAATGTTGAAAAGTTGTGCCTTGGAAAGATTAATATGAAAGAGATAAGTAGAAAGAATTAAATAAGACGAAAAACTGAAAAGCAGAGAAAACTAATTAGCAGATCTATCGAAACTGTGGGAGGGATGTATTCAAATACGACTCATGAAAGAACCAACAGAAGGTAGAGACCAACAGATGATATAAAAGGTGGTAACTACAAACTCTCAAGAATAACAGAAAGGATCAATAATGCCATTAAAACACACACAGAGAAAACTTTCTCCTCAGGACTATGAGAACAAAAAAATTCATGAGTGATTAAACATTTTCTTTGTTACGAAAGAGCAACTAACACATTTTAAAATATTTTTATGGGCTCATGATCATCAGATTCCAATATAACACATTCAATATTTGATTATCTCCCCCTAAATGGAAAAAAGCTAATACAAAGCAACATATGATCCAGAAATTTTTTTGGCTACAGAACACTATCTGAAATATACTCAGACACATGCCAGACATTTATTTACACACAAGTGCCAAACACTTAACATTCTCATATTCCTTCTAAACCTAATTCCATTCCTCTCTTACAAGAGGTCATTGTGCACTGACACAGCCCAAGTCATTGTAAAGGGTAACTAAAAATAGAAGCAAAACTTTAAAAAGAGAGAGAAAGAGAGGGAGGAAAGTATGCAAGGAAATGTTTAAGTAGGCACTTTATTCAGCAAGCTGAGGTACTTAAAGTTATCGTCCAGAATAATTAATTTCCATTCAGAAAAACTGTTTTCTAAAGACACAAACCCCAATACACACGCAGCAACGCATTACAGTAAGATTATCAAATGAGTTGTCTCAATTTTTAATTTATTTCTCTTTTCTCTACCTCCATTACCCCTGCCCCAAACAAAAGGAAAAGTAGTGTGCAGTAATAAATATAAGACTACACATGGTTTATTTTAGGCTATTGCTTAACCTGAATTATATTTCCATGTTTTCTCTCTTTTTCATTCCCTCCTACTACTTTTGGATACGTTCTTCCTCCTCCTGACCCTCACTAAAGCCAGATATCAGACTGGCACAAAACTGTTCCAACTTGCAATTTAAAAATCAAGATCACTTACCATTTGGCTGCCTCTGCTGGCTGAAGGCATGTATATCCATGGGAGAGAAGATGTTAGAATGGATTTCACGCAGACCTTCGCCAGTATACTTGTTGCAAGCCAAAATGGAGTGTGTATTCCAGTCAGTCCAGTACAATGTGTCCTCAAATAACGTCAAGGCAAAAGGATGTGGAAGGGAACCTTTAACCACTGCCTGCCTATTAACACAAAGAGAAAATTTTATTTTTAAATTTTCTTCTATTATTACAACACCACTGCTCCCATTAAAATAATCTTTGTTCACATTAACACATACAAATCCTGCAGAACACCTATCTTTGGGTCAATATATCTATGAAAAATAATTTACATGATAAATTCAAGTATGTTTTCAATATGTCCAAAAATCCAACCAAGGCCTTCCAAATGGTCCCTCACATGGCAGCGGGCTCCAAGTTCACTACGAGGCACTGACAGAAAAAGCCAGAGTGTTACCATTGCTTTCAATTCCCACTCCTCTGCTATCACTTCTGAACTCACATCTTCTGTCCTGTGACATAATACGTATTTTCATCAGAAGAAAGGGGAGCAATAAGAAAAAGTTCAAGGGTTATAGTTGGTACCGGAAGTAGATTTAAATCAGCAATAGGTTTATTTCTTCTTGATGTGGAAGAATAAACAACCTGAACCTCTTTCTTCAATCATTTCTTAGGGTTTTAATAACTGTGAGTGAAAACATACACATGAGGCTAAAAAGGCATTTAGGTAAAGCTCCCCCTGCAAACTTCCAGCATAATGATCATCTAAACGTTTTCCTATTTAACCTTCCTAATTCAGACAGCCAAAAGGAAGTCCTGTCGCTATTAGGATATGTTCAGGAGACAAGGCAGACCCAGAAATTTCATCAACAGTACATACTCTATAAAAGGAAAAGTAGAGACACTTAGTGCTCAAGGCATAGAATTTTGCAGTGTCTCAGAATTACAAATTAGTAACCATTCTAGAATAATAAATCGTTTTGAGTCAAAATAATGTCCATGGCAATGCTTTGTGGTATTTTCATGAGTTCCAAACTTTCCAATTGTCTAACAGAAAGAAAATATAAGCTACTAGAGAAAAATAAAGGTCTGGGAGGCCACTTGATGATCACTAATATCTAACAGACTACTAGTTCATTAAATTGATGAACAGTAACATAATGCCACGTATACAACATCTGCATGTTTAGTTTACCAAACAAACTTTAATTTTAGAACCTTATTTCCACTCTGCCAGCCTACATCACAATTTTCTCCTTAATTTCCCCTTCCTTAGCAAATTACTTTTCCCTCATTTACAACAAGCAGCAAACAAAACTGTCACAATACCTATTTCTGAAGTGCTTCCTTTCACTTTTTAACACATTCCTGCCAGCTTGAACCACCAGTGGTACATGCATGACTGTCCCACTGGGCAGCCTGTACCACTGGGGATACAAACAGAACTAATCACTCTTACTGGTCTTTTTACTAATAAAATTAATATAAAGCCACCTAATGGAACAGTCATGCATGCATCACCAGTGGTTCATGCTGCCCAGCAGCACAACATAGAAAATATAGTCCTAATGTGAATGTGTTAACTGGGCAATTTTTATTAAATTAATTAAAATAGCTTATTTATAGGAAAAGTATCATAGTTTTAAGTCCAATTTTAAATAAGCCAGTGTATTTTACACTAAAGTCTTTCAAATTTCTTCATGGTAAGACACAAAGAGTAAGTTCTGAGAAGATGCCAAGACACACAAAAATACAATTGAAAAATAAAGAATAGTAAAAACCCAGTTACTCGCACTTCATCAACCATCTTAAAAAGTAGCAAATTACATAACCTGATTTTTGAAAAACTTTGGAAAGGGAAAAAGAGCTTTTAAAAGTCTTTTGTGTCTCTTTAAATAAAGAGATAAATTCTCTCTAATGAACTAAACAGGAAAATAAAGAGATGGGAAAAGCAAACTCCCTCCCTAAAAGCTATGATTTTTTTAATATACTGACTAAAAACACATGATTAGAAACCAGACTGAACTGAGTTTAAATCCCCTGACACTTACTACTTACATCATTTCTGCAAGATTTGTTTTCCTCGTCTGTAAATGAAAGATAATAATCTATCTCACTGAGTCACTGTGAAGATGAAATGATAACATATGGCAAAGCAATTCCATACTGTACTTGGTACTTAATAATACAGTACTTCATAAACGATTCCTCAAATTTAGGGTATATGTTTTTTTCAGTATTTCCAAACTAATTTACTATTTTTGATATAAGACATACATTTATAACATGAACATTTCATGTTAGTTTTTAAATAAAGCTTTGTAAATCAACAATTTATTAGACCAAGTAAATATTAAGCTAACACACTCAACTTCAATGTCATTTCCTTTTCATAGTCTTCCTAATTTGCTCTCCTCCTTATTTTTCTTTTTCTAAGTTGTCACAACAGCCAGGGGACTATTTTATAAATACTCACTTATTCAACAACTTTGTAATTGATTACCTTCTCGAGAGTAGGAACTATAGCTTCTTGATAGTCCCAGGGTCTCATATCATGTGCAAAAATTAAACAGTAAATGCTTGATAAAATTAAATGTTTTATCTCATGAAACAAGAGAATAACAACGTTTAATATACTGTGCATCATTATCTTCAAAGTAGTTACTCAAAGAACAAACACTGACAGAAAAGATTCTTTCTTACAAAGAACAGACATTAACACAAACCTTTCTTTTCAATGTACTAAGAGAAACCAGCAGTATAAACAAACAAAAAATTACATGTTTTAAATTGAAAACATGTAATTAACAGAGCTGAAGAAAAAGCTGAACAAAACAGAATAATCAGCAGTCATTTACTGATTTGTCTAGTCAATCATAGCATGTTCCTAAAAAGCGCAAATAACTGTACAGCCTTCACCTTCCTTATCTCTGGATGAGATGACCTGACAGGCTACCTGCTGATGTCCATTCCCCTCACACACAGCGAAAAAAGTTACTTCCAGGAGGAGGTTACAGCTGCTGAAAACAAAAGTTCTCAGGTAAGATCAAAGCCGAGTTATTTAGCAGTGTGCCTAAGAGCTAAAGAGCCACAGAAAAGAAGCTGAAGTAGTCCCACCAGCACTGATGTTTTGATTTGCTGTCAGCAGTCTCTAAGCATCAACCGATGTCTGTCAATGATGGAGCACACTGATAAAGTTCAATCCCATAGATACACCCCAGGTACACGAGTTCTCCTGCTGCCTCTTTCAGATTCCACAACCTCTGCAAGCACTTCTTTCAAATTCCATACCAACTGGACTTATCATTTATAAAATACCTCCATACACTGATTTGTTTCCATTTTTGGACCCGCTTCCAGCAAATCTGCTCCATCTGAGAACTGCCCACCTCTATGCTGACAAATTTTTCTTTAACCATACCATAGGACTACTGTCATGCAGTTTTGACATCTGCACCTAACCTTGAGAAGCACTGTTCCTGAGGATCTAGCCAATGCAACCAACCAAGAGAAGCCATCCAGACAAGAAAAAGAAGTAAAGTTCATATTCACAGGTTATGCAAGTCTACACACAAAATACACTGAAGAATTTTAAAAGCTCCCCAACCTAATAAATTCAACAGACTGTAAAACACAAGATTTATTTATAAAAATAAAGTGTTCTATATACTATGAATAAAGAATTAAATTGAAATCATTTGAATATGTAAATTAAAGTTCTACTTCTATCATAAAAGTCACATTTTAATATATAAATTGAAGTTATTTTATGGCATTCACTCAAAACAATATAGTATATAAAAGTGTTAGAACCGGGGCTGGGGCTTTAGCTCAGCGGCAAAAGCGCCTGCCTAGCAAGCACAAGGTCGTGAGTTCGGTTCCCAGTACCGGAGGAAAAAACCAAAAAA